GAATATTTATGGGAAAAATAGTGCAAAATATGGTTTCCATATTATCAACAAGAACCAAAATGTCACATATAATTTAAGAGAGTCCACAAACACTCTCAAACTTATTTGTGGGCTCCAGGTTAGAAATTTCCATCCTATGGGATCTTTGAAGGCATCAATAGAAGGGGGACTCCATTAGCTCTAGATTGCTTCGTATAAATCATTGTTTTAGTTTGGTGGATTCTTTAATCTAGGCTTTGGGACCCCTTCCTTTCAGCTTTTTCCCACTAAAAATATTTTTCAGATTTGTTTCCAGCCTTCTTACTAACCAGGGATTTAACTTGAATTCAGAAGTTTTAGCTCCAAAACTTTCAGAGTTAAATTATTTTACCTGTGCCCTTTCAGAAAATGGAATGTTATCACTACAGTGGTTAACACTGTAATGTATACCTGAAATGTGCTAAGAAAGCAGAACTTAAATGTTCACATCATAAAGAGACAAGAAAAGTGCTAGATGTGTTAATTACATGGGCAGTGTCCTTTCACAATGTCTATATATATCACATCATGATGTACACTTTAAACATTCTATAATTTTGTCAATTATCTCTCACTAAGGCTGGAACCCCTCCCCCACCCCGATCTCTTATTCTATTTCTAGAGGAAAAGTGAATTGCAACACATGAAAAAAGCTAACTCCTAACAAATGCAAGATTATCAGAACTTATTTGTAAAAATTTTCCCCATAGTGTTGAAGGAGTCTGTGTGTAACAGTTTTCAAAATAGTAAGTAATTTATTAAGCATTCAATAAATATTCCTCGGTGTTAGTAAAAATGAAAAAAAAAAAAGAAATTGAGAATAAGAATATGTCCAGCTCTACTATATTTCATGGTATCCTAGTGCAGATTAAATGAGATGATATTAATGAAAGCGTCTTCATCTCCTGATTAGAGGCTGCAAATTGTAAACTGTTGCTGTGTTTTATATGATCTGCACAAAAAAAGAAAATTTTAAATTGAATTAGTTACCAGCATTTTCCAATCAAAAGAATTACATAAAAATCTGCATTTCCACTTCTCTTGAAAAATTACATGATCTGGCAATACTGTGTTTCCATTTCTACATGTCAAAGACTAGCTGGGGTTGAGTAACAGCTGTCCCCTTGAGAAAGGGCAAGAAGACTTCAGTTTGCCACAGTCCTTGTCAATCCCTGTTGATTCCCAACATGGTGGTAGAAGATCCACTGTCATGTTTTATCTCATAACTGCCCTGCATGTTCTGTGTCTGGTCCATTGCAGGCATGTGGATTTGCAATCCTCATTTAGATTTTGTTTCTATTTCTGGCTCTAGCTCCCAAACTGACTGATGATCAACCTACTCATTAATCTTTCAATCTTTCTTTTTTTCATCTTATTCAACCTTACTCTCCTTAAAAAAACAAAAACTAATACGAAAAAATTAGGAAATGGCATATGCTAATGTTAATATGCAATGTAGCAGCAAGCACTACTCTTATTTTTATCTGTAGCCTATTTTTTTTAAAAAGTGACCTGAAGGAAAGGAGTGTTACTCTGTGTTACACGGCCTTTGCTCTATCTGTAGATTTTGTTCGTACTTCATCCTTTTTCCTGACTCACCTCATAAGCAGCACCTAGGTCCTGGAATTTCTCCTGAGCTCGTGGGTCATCCGGGTTCCGGTCAGGATGAAGCTGCAGGGCTAGTTTCCTGTAGGCCTTTTTAATGTCTTTTATAGAGGCGCTGCGAGGCACCCCCAAGATCTTATAGAAATCTCGCCTAGGGAATAGGGAGGGGGAAAGGGTACTTCATTAAAGAGTTCTACAGTATGTTTTTAAAAGTGCAATTTTTTTCCTTTGCTTTTAGGTTTGTATATGAGCAAAGAGGTAGGAAAATGAAGGCATACATGTGACACACAAAAAAGAATGACTAAAAAGAGCCCGTCAGAATTTGTAAGGAATCTTACATATTGAAGTAATCACAATGAGAGGCCATGAATTTTTGAACTTCACTACAATTATTCAAAACATCTGTGGCATACTTCTCTTAGACCCTTTCAGACAAGAGAACTATTTCCTTATTTATGGTCACATGTTATTTTCAACCAGTAACTGTACAATCGAATTAACTCTCTCTTTTTTCCTTCCCTCTATTAGTGACTTCAAATGACTTCTGGCTATGTCCAAAGGTCAAATAATAACCAAAGGATGATTTTCTTTATTCAAAGAGATCACATCATGTAAAAGTTCTAACCGTAGCTTTGTGTTTAGAATGTTAAACATGAAGCAACTGAAATTAACTTCAGAGGTTAACACAGAAGTTAAGCCAAAATCCAGTTAAGAACCCTGAGAAAGAATAACCTCTACCTGGATGTAGGAGTTGCGGTGTGTTTTGCTAAAAGTGAGAGAAAATAACAATCTTGCAGTCATTGTTAGTGGCTATACTGGTTTGTCTTGGTCAAGTCCTAATTATAGACAGCTGCTGAAGCCCATATGCAGAAGCCTGTAAGTCTCAGCAGCTACAAATATGCATATAGCATGAGCTGGGAGATAAGGTACAGATTCACTGACCTCCGTGCAAGGGACTCTGCTAGACTAAAGTAATTATAAAAGGAGTATTTGCAAGAAGGGCCAATGCATAAAACAGACCATAATAAACTTCAAGGGTAGGGACTGTAGCCCATAGAAGACACCAATAAATATTTACTGAATGAAATGAATAAATAAGCATGCTCACAAAAACCTACTCCTTTTGCCAGAGTCATTTTAGCCATCAAAAATTATTCTGGAAAAAAAAATTATTCTGAAAATGCATTTCTCAACACAGGGAATGGGAAAGTTGTCCACAATGGACACACTACTACAGTAGTGATGGTGACTTTAAAATGCAATGGGGATAAAATGCATTGAGGTGCCAAGTGATATATGACAGAACATGGAAAAAATGATTTCATAAGCTCTTTGTCACACTTTGGAAAGTCATTTAATCATTTCAGGTCTAAGTCTGTAAAATTATCATCCCCAAGGAAGTCCATGAGAATTAATTAGATGTTTTATCCTCCCCCGCCCCCCCAATCTGCAAACACCCCTAAGATCTCGAGACAAGGGACTAAATAAATCAAAAGGTTCACCAAAATTAATAATAAAGGAGCTGTTTAAAGAATGAGGCTTACTTAGAATACACTTAATATAAAAATGGGTCAGTAACAGTCCAGAATAATCAGGGAAAAGATAGCTGGCATAGTTCAGCATCAATGTTACAGTTCCCCAAAGACTTCTTTATAAAAAGGCTGGCGTTTAAAGCTACAGAATTAACAATACTCAGACTGACCCACATCTTAGGGTATGTATGTGTTGCTTTAAGTGAAGTACTAACAAAAAACATACTAAGAAAAACAATAAAGCATTACCTAGAAGAAATCATTATTATTATTATTTAGCGATTTAAAATGTTTCACCAGAAAAAAATGACGACAAAGTTTAAGCATATAAGCACGGGGGGGGGGGGGGGAGAACACTTTTAAGAAATAACAAGCGCTTTGAAGTTTAAAGCTTTGCTAAGTAGCATCCCCTACAGTGAGGGAAACTTAGGAATTGTTAGAAGCGAAGACTTCACTGTTCCCCCATATACTCTAATGTGAGCCCGGCACGTCATATCCTGCGGATCGTAGATCTAAGAGGCTGCACGCATCCCTGAGGGTTCAGGTGGTCCTTCCTACTCCCTTCGTACGGGGGGGGGGGCACCTTTTTATCTTCATGATACAGATGAGAACTCAGAGGTTCCTCAGGGTCAAGAAACCCGCAGGTGGGGTGGGGATGCGGGGTCTTGAATGCCAGCTCGCTGTCGGTCGGTGAAATGCCCTTCCTGTTCCTGAGATTAGGAAGCTTCTCAGGAACGTGCCATGGAGAGAGGCCGTGAAGCAGGAGGGCAGCTAAGGCTCCGTTACCGCCAGGAGCCAGGAAGGACAAGCACTCTCCAGGGCCCGCCTCGCTGCCTCCATCCCATTTCCTTCGGCCCCAGCATGGCTCCCCTACCTGTTCTCCCTCGCTGGCTCAGCCTCGCAGCACCCCCCCGCCCCCCCCGCCCAGGGGCTTGTTGCGGGCGGTCCACGTACCGGGTCCTCCTCTTCGGCTCAGCAGCACCCCGCCCGCCCCCCCCCGCCACGGGGCGTCCCGCACCGCACCCACATCCCGCTGGAAGGGCCTCCGGCCCTGCGCCCCTCTCCGCCGCCCCTCACACGCCCTCCTCCCGCAGCCCAGACGCACCGACCCACCGGCCCCGTGCCCGCGGGCGCCCGGTCCTCACCCGGCGATCGCGGCCCCGAGGAGGTACAGCAGCAACAGGCAGAGGGTGCCCAGGTTCTGCGGGGCCATGGTCTCTCGGTGCCCGCCTCCGTGCCGGCCCTCGCCCACCGCTCCGCCCGGCCGCCGCGTCGGCTCACCGGCCCCCCACCCCCCGCCCGGTGCCCAGAGGCCGCCTCTCCCCGGGGTCACCCCTCGGTCCCGAGCGACGGCGAGCTCGCCCCCTCCTCGGCCAGTCCACTTCCCGGGAGTCCCGAGTCCCCGGGAGAGAAGCCCCGCAGCCGGCGAGAGCCAATCGCTGCTCGGGACATCACACGCGGCCGGCGCCGCGCAGCCAACCAGCGCGGTACACTTCACCTCCGAGGCGGCGCGGGCGGCCAGTTAGGCCTCCGAATTGCAGCCGCAGCTCCGGGCCAATTAGAGGAGGGAACGTCAGAGAGACGCGCCGCCGCGGGCATCCGCTCGGCCCGGGTAGCCAGGAGTCGCAGAAAGCTACGCAAAAAGGCGGTGGGGTCCAGGAGTCCCGCCCCTCCCCGCCCACCTCGGGCTCTCCACCAATCACGAGGCTCCTCCTCCAGCACTGGCCAATTACGGGAGGGAGGACTTACCTGGTTACGAGTCTGGGAATTTCATTCATCTGGAGCTTTACGCTGGGTGCGGGAGCAAAGGGTCACCGGAGAAATGGGCGGGGACAACTACTCAGCGCCAACCGTGGGGCGGACGCACGGCTTAAGAGATCTTACTTTACCCTCTTGGAACAAGCCCCGAAGAAAATTGCCTCGGTTTTCACGAAGAGGCCGTGGGGGCAGACAGACTTAGATTCGGATTCAGCTTCCATCACTTCTTAGCGGTGAGAGAACATCGTCCTTCCCTTGCCCCCGTCAAGCCTAAGCTTCATTTACAAACCCGAGGGCAAAACATTTTACTGGCAGTGTTGTGAAATTTAATGGGAGAAAAGCTGTAAACTGTCTAGCACAGCAGGCACGCAGTGTAGGAGAACTCTTTGATTCCCCCCACCTACTTGTTCATGACAGAATTCTAGGTATCTTCCTTGATTCCGCCCCTATATCCTCTATCCAGATCTTTGCTTTTAAACTATATCCTCAATCTGTCCGCGGCTGTACATCTCCACTACCTCTCTAGGCCAGGTTACGTCATCTCTCCCCTGGCAAGCCTTCCTACGTGGTCTCCCTGCCTCCACTCTTAATATTTTACACTCTCTTGTTCACTCCTGACCCCCAACCGCATGATTTTTTGCAAACGTGTCAGACCATGTCATTCCCCTACTCAAAAGCCTCGAATAGCTTGTCATTGCACTTAAAACCCCAGCTCTTTATGATAGCTTATAAAACTCTGTGTGCTTTCATAAAGCTGGGAAAAAAAAGTTAAAGCCTGATAGGATCTGTGCCCTCACCTAGTATATACTCCTTGGAATGTTCCAGCAAACCTGGTTTTTTCTTTTTATGAATACACAAAATTCATTCCCCCCTAAGGCCTCTATTCTTGCTGTTCTCTTTGCCTGAAGCACTCTTCCCCTAGTTTCTAACTTGGGTGACTGCTTTTTACACTCAGATCAGTTGAAATGTCACTACTTCAGAGAAGACCTCCCTGACCGGCCAATCGAAAATAGCTCCTGCTGAGTCCCTTATTCTTACACCCCACACTCACAGGACTGTACCTCAGTTTCAAGAGAGCAGGGGTCTAGACTGTCTGGTCATACCTGAATAGAACAGCATCTTAGAACGGAGCCTACCACAGAATAAAAGTTGTTTCGACCGTGATCTAACTATGCTGGCTTTTTATTCTTGAGTCCTCAGATCAAATTCAGCATTGGCCCTCCCCCCTCCCCCCAAATTTATAGCACTTATTAATATGAAATTGTCCCTTTCCCTCTTAATATGTATTGTCTATTCTCCCTATTAAAATATGCACTTACGAAAGCAAGGATCTTACCTATTTTGTTCACTGCTGTGATCCTGGTGCCTAGCACTGTGCCAGACACACAGCTGTGCTCAGTGATAATTGCTCTTGCAAAAAACAAAGGCATAGAGAGGTAACAGAACCTGCTCAAGGTCACTGAACTATTTAGTGGCGCAGCTTGAATTCTCACCAGGATCTGTTTAATCCAAAGCCCTTATCTACTCTCGGCTCTTACAGAGAGGTAAGCGGAAGACAAGGGTACTGCTTTCAGGAAGATGCCTACCAGACGAGAGAGGGCACCTAGAAGAGAAACTAAATTGCATTTTACGGTCTTACTTATTTTTGTTAACTCCCACACCTGTGGAGGCCATAAACGAACTAAGAAATCAGGAAATGGCCAAAAATCATTAAATGGAGGCTTCGAGGAACGCGTGGTGTCTTCTGCGGGGGGGGGGGGGGGGGCATCCCAAGAAGCTCCTGAAAGCGGTAACGTGGCGGGAAAGCTAACAATTTACCTGCAGGTTCTTTTGTTAAGGAGCTAATAACCCTGGGGGCTCTGGCTTTAGGCTACCTGGCTTTCTCGGCGGCTGCTGTGACCTGAGGGCTGTGTTCCTTTCACCTCTCTATGCCTTAGGTTACTTGTCGGTACAGCAAATGCACTTCGCTTTATAGGGCTCTTTCTTGGAGAGACTGCGATGATAACACGTAAATGTGCTTTACCCAGGGCCGGCCCGTGGTAAACACGGCGAACTGTCATTGTCATTACTACTGATCAAAGCGTGCTGACCTTACCAGCAGCTGTTGGCTGACCGTAGCTGCACAGAGCAATAGAAAACTGCCTGCTTTCCTGAGGTGGAAGGCGCCGACCAGAGAGCAGCCGGGTCGGGCTCCAGACCCCAGCACCTCGGCGCGGAATTTCCCAAGCCCGCGGGAGCAGCGGCCGGCCGCTCTAGCAACGTCGGCCTGCGGTTCTCGGTGGTGCGGGGCCTGGCGCCTGCGCAGTGGGTGCGGCGCCGGCGAGGGGCGGGGCGAGCGGGGCGCGGCGGCGCGCGCAGGGTGCGGCGGAGGGGCCCTGCCTTCGCAGGTAACCGCGCGCCGGCCGGCGCCAGGTAGGGAGGGCGGGCCGGGGAGGCTGCGCTTTGGGTCGCCAGGTGTCGGGTCCGCCACGGAGCCTGCCGGCTGGGGCCTCCCAGTTGTCAGAGTCCGGCCGGGGGGCTCGTGCGGCCCGGACTCGGACACGGACAGCGGCGGAGGTGGAGGTGGAGGTGGCGGCGGCCCCGCAGGACGCCTGGGTCTCACGCCCACCTCCCCGCCCCAAAAACCCCGCCGCGAGCGCTCCCAGCGGCTGCTTCAGAGAGGGAGAGAGCCCTGGTTCGGTCACGGAATTGCACCCCGAGCCTCGGAGCTCCTCCCCCAGGGTCAGGGTTTCGGTTGCACACTCCAGGGCAGGAATTCAGGATCTCACAGAGCAGCCTCTTTGCATCTTGGGGCAAGCTAAGATCTTCCCACGTCACTTTCATCTCCCTTCCCTCCCTTCCTAGAGCAACGCTGAGCCCTTCCCGTGCACCGAGGCAGCCGCCCTTTACCCTCTGACACCCTTCTTGGGGTTCATGCTCACACGTTCCTCTACCTGGCTCTTCTGTGGCCTCACATCTAAGGCCACCCGTTCTGGTGATCCTCTTATGGATCCACTCCCATTTTTCAGAGATTCTCCCGAAACTTGGGTTCCTAAGGTACCTTGGTAACAGTTGTCCAGGCTGGACAGACTTGAATTCTATCTAATCCAGGGCGGTGCCAATTTAAGTCTGTGACTTCAACTTCTCCAAGCCTCAGTGTGCTCATCTGAAAATGGGGACAGTCATTATTTCCAGGTGTTTGAGAGGACGAAAGGAAGTGAAGAACAAAAAATGTTTAGCATGCTTCCTGGAACATAGTAAGCATTCAGTTGGTGCCATTTATTTATCTATCTATCTATCTATCTATCTATCTATCTATCTATCTATCAGATAATCCCCCAAAGAAGTATGACTTTTTGGAATCAAATGCAAAACATAGTAATAGCAATAAAATATTTTCCACCAGTCACATAAGGAAGATTTTAAAGTGATGTTACTTAATGCTGAGGAGTGCTCAGTGGTCAAGTGGTACTCAATGGTACCTTGGTCAAATGATGGTACAGTTTGACACAGTCCTCTTGGAAAGCAATGGAAATACATGTCAGGAGCTTTAGAATTGTCATTTACTTCATTTCACCAATGCACATCTGAAAATTTTCTTGGAAATAATCATAGCACAGAAAATATGCAGAAAGATGGTGATTATAGCATTTTGTGTAATTATGAGACATTTAAGCTTTGAATTTTATTTTAATTGAAGTATAGTTGATATACATTATATTAGTTTCACTCGTACAACATAGTGATTCGGCAGTTAAATAAATACCACTGGGGTGCCTGGATAGCTCAGTAGGTTAAGCCTCCAACTCAGTCTCAGCTCAGGTCTTGATCTCAGTTGAGAGTGCAAGCCCCGCGTTGGACTCCACACTGGGTGTGGAGCCTAGTAAAACAAAACAAAGAAAATACGCAATAAATGTAGCTGCCATCTGTTAGCCTACAAAGTTATTACAGTATTACTGACTACATTCCCTATGCTATACTTTTCTTCCCTGTGACTTACTTATTTTATAACTGGAATGTTATACCTCTAAATCCCCTTTATCCTTCACCTACCTTTAAATTTTCCACAGTGGAAAATTTTAACCTATACAAAAGTAGAATAGGTAAATAAACCGCCATGTGCTCATCACCCTACTTCAACAATGAGCAGTATTTTGCCTATCTTGTTTTTGTAAAAAGTATTAAACCTACTTACTGTCCAAAAATAGGAGAACGGATGAGTAAACTGGGGTACCTTTATTTAGAGTGCTATGAAGCTTTTAAAATAACAGAATTATATATATGCTATTATCACAAGTTTGAAAATTCAAAAACTAACATCCAATCTGTAGAAAAAGATATGAAGTACAATACAATATTGACTAGTTTCCCTTTGATGGTGGGACAGTAGATGATTTCTTCCCCCTCTATTTTTAGATATGAACATTCCATAAAAATTATGTATTCTTATAACAAAGAAACAACAAACAAAATCTGAAAGCATTGCACCTGAACTAAGCACAAAGAATATGCCAGAGCAGGTTCACGGTTACAGAGAATAAAGGTGACGGATTTTTGCAGCCCATGCTTATGTGAGCATTTGTCTGCCACATATGTTAATGCTTCATACAGTTCATACATCCAGATCTTTAGCCCACCATCCACTATGTGTAAGTGATTTGACCCTGAAATTGTATTCCCTTTATTTTGACTAGCATTGTCCCTCAGGGTAGGCAAAGATTTCTTCTGAAGAGACGGCTCTCCCATTTCTTCTTTATTTCCTGAGCAGGATTCCAACTCATACTTCATGCACTTATACACTCTTCCTAAAACAACCACTTCAAACAATTCATGTAAGATAATTTTGTTTTATCACAAAATAAGTTCTTTTCAAAATTTCTTGTTCAAATCGATTATAGTGAGATCTGACCAAAAATTTATTCTGCTCTTGATTAATAAACTAGATCTGCTTTTAAAAACTGACATAGTACATCTTAAAACAGTTAAGGGAGGGGGTCACCTTAAAGAAAATGTATAAGTGGAAACAACAACAGCAAAAAGAAAATGTATAAGTGAGTTTCGTTTCAAATCAGTTTGTGAAAAAACCTTTGTTTCCTAGGTATGCCAAGAAGCCTTTTCACACAGATGTCCTTCGAGATAATATGGATCAGTCCGGAGTTCTCCTCTGGGTGAAAGCAGAACCCTTTATAGTGGGTGCCTTGCAGGTCCCCCCTCCATCCAAGTTCAGTCTTCACTATCTCAGGAAGATATCCACCTATGTGCGAACCCGGGCCATGGAAGGGGCTTACCCACGCCTGTACTGGTCTACGTGGAGGCACATTGCATGTGGGAAGCTGCAGTTGGCTAAGGATCTGGCGTGGCTTTACTTTGAAATATTTGATAGTCTTGCAGTGAAGACACCAGAGGAGCGCCTGGAATGGTCTGAGATCCTGTCCAACTGCATGTCAGAGGATGAAGTTGAAAAGCAAAGAAATCAGGTATGGATTTAGATGTATGTGTATGTGTGTATAATTATTTTGAGAAATACACTATCTTTCATTTTTGTACTAGCTCTGCAGTGTGTGGTTTTAGGTTAAGGAGTGTTGTGATCCCGACATGCCATTTTTTTTTTTAACTGTTCCAGGTGGGCAGTTTTTAATGAGTTAGCCCTCCTTTTAGCAATCCCTATTCATTCATTCCTTCCAAAGCCACAAAGTTACAAGAACCCTATAACTGAAAGAGAAAATACTTTCGTTGACTTTAAAAATATTTTAAGGTAAGTCAGTAGTTATGAACCATTGATACGTTACAGTCTGGGAACGTGACTATTTTTAAGTGAGCATGTGCTATGTGCTGGGATTCAAAGATGATTGCAGCAGCATCCCTACCTTCATGGAGTTCATAGACTAGTAGGGAAAGTTAGTGTGTAAAAGAGTGCTATTTGATAATGTGGAATGTATAATAGTAAAAGTATGCATAAAGTACAGAAATAGAATAGGGAAGAGAATGGTTAGTTCTCACCAGAAAGGTGAGACATCAGGAAAGACTTCACAGAGAAAGTATATTAATCAGAGGAGGCTCATTACAGTAACAGGCAATCTTGGCATTTCAGTGGCTTAACACAGTAACAGTTTATTTCACATTCATGCAGCAGTATAACACAAGGCATCTGGTAGCATGATTCTCTAGGCTGCTGTTGTCCAAGCAACGACTCAGGGATCTAGTCATCTTCTGTCTTCTGGAACCATAATTTTATTATTAGCTTTGCTGCAGTTAAAAACAAACAAAAATGAAATTGCAGTGGCTCACAGTAACAAAGGTGTATTTCTTGCTTATTTTACGTGCAGGCTACACTTTAGCTAGGGCTAAAGGTTATGGCTTGGCTCTATGTGTCTACTCATTTTGGGAGCCAGGCTGAAGAAACGTATTCTGTATAGGTCATGCCTATTCTATGACAGAAGAGAAGAGCAGCAGAGCAGGAGAAAACTCATGATGCCCCTTAAAACTTTTGTTCTGATGGGACATAAACTATAACTAGTTTCATTCCATTGGCTAAAGCTTTGTTCTATGTCCTTGTCTAAAATCAGGTAGGTGGGGAAGTAAACTACCTCAGGATGTGGGGAAATCCCATGACCATGGGTCAGCTGTATAAGCCTCCTAGAGGATGTGGAAGTGAATGATTACAGGTATCATACAATTTGTCCCAGCCATACCCACTAGGGCCTCAGAGTCCTTCACTTCCGTTTTTTTTTTTTTTTTTTTTTTTTTTTTTTTTGTGGACTGTTTTTGGGAGACTCGAAAGTGGCATATGTTAATCCACCCACATTCCATTGACTGTAACCCAGTTGTATACCATGTCTAACTTCAAGGGAGGCCGACGAATGCCATCTAAATGTGTGCCCAGGAAGAAAAGAAAAGGTATTTAGTTAGTATCTAGCCATTCTCTGCCACACGGGGTAATATCTAAACAAGGTTTGGAAATTGAAAAGTTTAACAAGAAAGGAAAGACATTATAATTATTCATTAATTAAATACTGAGTGCCTACTATGTGTGAGGTACCGTAGTGTATACTGGATATAGAGATTAATAAAACCTTCAAGAAGCTCCAGATTTTTTGACTGCTTGTTATGTGCTAGATTCTATGCTAGGTACTAGGACTAAAAAAATGAAAAAGATGAGAATCTTACAGTCTCGTGAAGAAGGTGGTATATGAATAACGATAATATACCACATAATTGTTAAATGGAAGTATGTATAAAATCAAGGAATTTTGCTGAGTTAAAAAAGCCAATTCCCGAAGGTTATTATACTGTATGATAACACTTATATAACATCCTTGAAATGACAAAATTGTAGAGATAGAGAACAGATGAGTGATTGTCAGAGGTTTAAGGAAGGGGTGAGGGTGGGAGGGAAGTGGGAAGTAGGTGTGGCTATCAAAGGACAACATGAGAGATTCTTGTGTTGATGGAAATGTTCTGTTAACTTGACTGCATCAATGTCAGCACCCTGGTTGTGCTACTGTATTAATAACTTTGTAAGATGGGAAACTGGATACAGTGGACAGGGGATCTCTCTATTAGTTCTTATAACTGCATGTGAACCTACAGCTATCTCAAGTTTAATGAAAAAGGCAAGCATTTAAAAAAAATATGTAGAATCATAGGGTTCTGATTAATTAAGTAGTTCTAGATAGTCCTGAAGATCTGTACTTTTAAAGTTCCTTAGATACAGCCATTTTTAGCCAGGTTGGCTAAAATACAGCTGTAGGAGATGTTATTACATTTTTGTGTCTCCTGTATGTGTATGGGAATGAATATGTGAGGATAATCCTGAGCTTCAAATCCTGAGCTTCAAACCATATCCTCCTTTAAATAAGAAATGACTTCTAACCATCTATCAGAACGATAGTATTTTTTTAAATCAAACACTCTTTTAAGAACTTGATAAAAATCTGAGTCCTTTTCCCCCACAAGATGCACATACACCAAAAAATTACATTCAGTTCCTGATTTGTATTGATACCCTAAACTTTGTTGATAAGTCACTTAGGTTAGAGTAACCTCCGTATTTTGGTGAGATCTCCTTCTTCCTATCTTTGATCTATTTATTTATTCAAGTGACTAAAGTTTGTCTTTTTTTTTTTTAACTGCAATTTTAAACTTCTGAAATAATGTGCTTTTAAAAAGTATGTACTTCATCCTCTCCTCTTCATAGATTTTGGGGAGAGAATGTCTATGGCCATAGATGCTACCTAGCTTTCTGAGAAGGTAAGTGACTCCAGTTTCATTAGTTCTAGAAACTCCCATATCTGGACATCAGAGACATACATATCAAAGGCTAGCAAGTTTCTACATTTTTCTTTTTAGGATTGGCAAACTGTTGTGAATTTATTTTACTGTATCTAATTAGTTATAGACTAGGGACTTTTGTGTGGTTAAGGACATGTGTTCATCATCTCTTTTCTTTTTGGACAGCTTTCAGTGGACACCCTACAATTTCTGCTCTTCTTATACATACAGCAGTTAAATAAGGTCTCCCTGAGGACATCTTTGATTGGAGAAGAGTGGCCTAGTCCCAGAAATAGACCTCAGTCTCCTGACTTGACTGAAAAATCCAGTGGTCATCCTAAGGTAGTATTAAAATTTTGGTCTCCTTCTTTGAAAGGAACAATGTATGAGGGAGATGATTTGCCTTCATTAAAAATTGTGTTGGGATTACTTATATAAGCCAGTCATTTGCTGGTGTGTTTTGTTTTGCAATTTTGTTTCTTTTCCTTATAAAACAAAATAAATATTTGCAGTCTTAGTCTAAATAGAGAAGTAATTTCCATTCCTTCAGTGACACAAAAATCACATGATTTGGGGGCAGATTATGCACTGTTCTCATTAGCATTCTTATTATTGCAAATGTTAATGAATTTGAATCTACTTATTTGACTAGGAGTAAATAAGAAGATGTAGTGTTTGTAAAGTCAGTTGAAATCTACTGAAAAAATTTCTATAAAAATATCTTTTCATGTTTAAGTGATGTGCTTCAGTATAGTTAAGTTCAGCACGCTTATGTCATGTGACAATCAAGAAGTTCAACTTAACTGCCTCACATGAGTTTTAGAGATTGTGTTATTTCTTCTTTCTGGTTTTGTAAAGAAGGCTGAAATGTTCTTACCTGTTTAGGTAAAAATATTCTAAAAAATCTTTAAGTAAAACATGGATCTCAGTATTACTGCCATGTGCAGGTTCTTTAAAAATGTTGTGAGGCAACAAAAACCACCACAAAAGTGTCTCTGATAGTTGGTACTTTTATAATCTCCTTTTTCAAGTAAATCTGTCCACCCTTACATTCCATGATACAATTCCTTCCTGGTCGTACTGCTTATTCTTCTTTTTCACTCTTCTTCATGAGCCTCTCCACTGGCCCCTACAGGCCACTCTTCCCCCAGGATTCTACTTGGGGCAATTTTGTCTTTTCACTAGACATAGTCTTTAAACATAATTCTTTTCTTCCTGTGATTTTATATATCTCAGTGACTCCTGAGTGTGTCTCCATCCTGGATTTCCCTCCTCATGTAGATGCCCTAGCTATACCTTAGATTCAGAATGTCCAAGTCCAGATGTATTGAAAAGGCCAATCATTGTCTGTTATTTCCACACATTGTTTCCTGTTGAATGGGTACTGTATAGAGATGGTGTTTTGAACTAAGGTAGTCAGCATTCACATTAACTCTGCCACTTAATGTCACATAATTTTAGGCACATTGGTTAATTTTTCTCAGCCTTGGCTTCTCTTTTGTAAATGGGAATGATAATGCCTATTTCTGCATGGCTGTGAGAATTCAGTAGTTCATTATCATAAGGCTTGTTGCATAGTAAACATCAGTTAATGGTGACTCTTAGTTTGTGCTATATATAGCATGACCTCTCCCAACAACTGATTAGACCAGAGATGGACACTTGACTAGAGTAACCCATTCATAGGTATGTATTTGAAATTGGTCTGATTCGAATTGATGACCTGGCCCAATCAGTGTCCCCAGGACCTGAAGAAATTACCAGTTTGTGATGGGTGCTTGAGCTGGCAGCTTACGTGGCAGTGGTACCAGAATAGCCACCATGTTCATGAGTGACCTGGACTTATAAGGATTCGAAACTCTGAGGTAATCAGAGAAAAAGAATAGAATGGAACAGATGGGTAGAGACACTGGCCTCTGAGAGAGAACCAGGCTCAAGATGGCCTTCCGGTTCCAGTTCTGATGAGGCCCGTGTACTTCATCAAAGTCTTACTTACTCTGCCTCCAAAACAATTTTTGTTTTTAAGATTTTATTTATTTATTCATGAGAGAGAGAGAGAGAGAGAGAGGCAGAGACATAGGCAGAGGGAGAAGCAGGCTCGCTGTGGGGAGCCCCATACGGGACTCGATCCCAGGACCTGAGTCAAAGGCAGATGCTCAACCACTGAGCCATCCAGGTGCCCCCTTCCAAAAGAATTCTAATTTAAAAGTCTGTCCCTTTTTGGGTACCTGGCCCAGTTAGTGGAACATGCAGCTCTTGATCTCAGGATTGTGAGTTCAAGCTCCACATTGGGGGTAGAGATTAATTAAAAAAAAATCTATAAAAATAAATAAAAGCCTACCTCTTTTCTTCCTTTCATAGGAATATTTTATAGGCCATAATGACATGTTAGGGGGGCCTTTATTTCTATAATTAGATATACCTGGTCACTCAGCTTTAAGTCTACACTCCACCTACTATGCTGAACTTTCTAAATACAGAAGTATTATGTCTGTTTCCTGTCAAAACTCCCATCATTGATTATCATTGTCACTGTTTTCATCTTCTGTTCCATGGAGCCACCTCAGGCTGACTGTGGGTGAGGGGGATGCAGTAACTGAGATGAAGAGCGACAGCTCTGCTTTGACATATTCTCTGGTATCCAAATGAGAGTTTATTAAAAAGAAAAATGGTATTGCTATTCAGAAAATAGTTTTGAAGTCCCTGGCACACAAAATAAAGCCCAGATGCTTTAGTGTTTCATACAGGCCTTTCATGATTGGTCCCTGCCTACCATTTTTACTTTACCTGACACTTCCCAGCATTCTTCCTAAAACTCACCCAGAACTTCCATTTTTCTGGACACAGCAGGTAATTTTACTGCTATTAATTTTTGCATATGCTATTCTGCAGGCTGAGAATGCCTTTTTTCCTTGTCTGTTTGCATAACTACCAACATTAATCAAGAATCTGTACAAATAGCACTTTTTTTTCCCCCAAGAGGGGTTCCTTATTCCTCTGAGGCTCATAGCATGTCTTTACAGATCTCTGCTATAGTTCTTATCCCCTGTGTAATAGTTGCTTATATTGTCTTTTCACTACATAGGCCCTGAGTCCTTTGAGGACAAGAACTATGTCCTATTCAGTTTGCATATTTCGTCACTTAACACTGCTCATACCACATAAGAGATATTCAAGAAGTCTCTGTTAAATGAATGAGCCAAATCATTGAGACATCTGCCAACTCAAAGCTTATTCCAAAAGTGATAACTTCTCTTAAATCTAACTACTGTAAGATCAGTTGCATTGTTACATCTGGTGGAATTTGAAACTCCTCCTGTAACATGAGAAGGTAAATAAAGAAACCCAATGCTTCATCAAATGAATGTCCCAAGGTAGCTATTTCTTTTTCCAAGGTAGCTATTTTTATGTTAGATCAAGACTTAGAGTATTTACTAGCTGTGTGACCTTGGGTAAGTTTCTTAACCTTCCTGTATATCCATTTCCTCATTTGTAAAATTGGCATGTTAATGGCATCCATTACAAGATGGTTGCTAGGATTAAATATGTTAAGGTTTGTGTAACACTTCATGTTGGCACACACGAAGGGTTAGCTATAGTATTACTTCTGAATTAGTTAAGAAAGGAGAGAATCTGTTTATACCTATCACCGTGTATTAAAAAATCTTTGTAAGGTTTATATTGTTGCCTTAAATGCTTTTTTAGGAGAGGAGACAAACTGGAAATACAAAGTAATTAAAATACAAAACGTTCAGGTCTTGTAAAATCTATTCTGTTAAGAGTGCTTTATTTTGGTATTTTTTAGAACTGGAATGATTACAGTCACCAAGCATTTGTCTGTGATCATCTATCAGATCTCCTTGAGCTACTTTTAGATCCAGAACAACTCACTGCATCATTTCATTCGACACACAGCAGCCTAGTCTCTCGAGAAGCTGTCGTGGCTCTCAGCTTTCTTATTGAAGGTACAGTGAGTAGAGCCAGGAAGATATATCCACTTCATGAACTCGCACTGTGGCAACCACTACATGCAGAAAGTGGCTTCTCAAGGATCTCGAAGACCTTTTCTTTCTACAAGCTAGAAGCCTGGTTGAGAGCCTGTTTGACTGGGAATCCATTTGGTACATCTGCTTGCCTTAAGTCTGGAAAGAAATTGGCTTGGGCTCACCAAGGTATTTTTTTCAGTATTTTAATCTGTATTAAATTGCATGACAAGTTAAGGAACCTAGTGTTTTCTGGTGTGTTAATAATCACACAGCTTCTGTAGAAGACCTAAAAAATATTGCTACTTAAAGAGAAAAAGGCAACAGCTCTCTTTTGTCTATGACTATTTCCCTCAAGGCAGCAATAGTCTGAGAGAGTTGATTTAAGAGTCTGGGTCATTTTGGTCACAGTTAATGGAACTCCAGCTTCAGCCAGTTCTCTCTTTGCTCTGTTTTTCTCCTTTCTTTCTCCCTCGCCCTCTCACATGCTCATTTGTTTGAGGCTTTCCTGTTTTCTCTGTACCACAGCCAAATTTGGCCATTCCCCAGTTACAACCTCAGAGAATTGATGTAAAAATGGGGTCCTTTTTAGGTACACAGATACAAGCAAATTAGATTTTTCTAAATTGGAAATTTCAAGTTACAGGAGAGAAAATTTGTCTTTGATTGCATGAGATACTTTTTACTGACAGTCCAGCAATGGCTAACAGGATAGGTTCGGGTGCTGAATGACTTCTGGGGCCCAGGTATAAGTTTAAAGAGAAGTAGGTGAGGCAAATGCCAGGTAAAATTAATGGGGGAAAAAAAAAGAGAGAGAGAGAGACCTAGAATATACTTCCACAATCTCTGAATTTCAAGGTAAAAGAAAAAACAGTTTCCATGTAATTAAATCAGTTTTGTATCCCATTTTCGAATCAGTTTGAATCAGATGATTGAGCAATGTCTATAGAATCTCAAGCAAAAAGATTGTGATCCAAGAATTCTATATTCAGCCAAGCTATTGCTCTAGGATGAGGTCACAGACTTCCGGATATCTAAGGGTCCCATAAATATGTAGGACATACTACATAATTCTTGATGGTGATAAAAGAATATAGGCTCCAGTAAGTTTTTAAATGTTGTTACAGTAGTCACTAGTTGGAAAAAGAGGCTATCTAACCTCTTAGGATTATACTGAAATATTAGCACAAGTGGATAATAGGATCACAAATAATTTGTACCTTCTTTTAGCACTAGTATTTAAACATTTTCTACAATAGCCATATATTACTTATTTTATAAAAGGAAGCAATAAAAATTGTTTTTTCAAAAAAATGTAATAGCATACTTATGTGACCTCATATTTGGCTAGTATTTTTTACAAGCGTGTCCTGATAGCTTTCAGAGAAGTATAGTCTAACTAAGAAGCCAATCATAATGGTGAGACTGTACTAGGAGGGTCTTCACAGATTTTTTGAGTATCAGTTTGTGCAAGGTACTGTGTGTGAAAGGAAGATGTGCTCTCATTTACTAATGATGTAGGGATTAAAGACATGAATCCAAATAGAATTCATGGAATGATGTGGTAAGTAGCTTAAGAGGGTTATGAAATTGGTATTATGGCAATATCAAAAGATTAAGGATTGGGATGATAAATTAAGGAAACTTGCAGAAGATATTTGAGTTATTTGAATTGGGCCAGCTCTGTCACTAGCCATATGACCTTAGCCACAACCTTGAATGAACTTAGACCTTAAAAAACTTTTATGACAGACAATTATGAAATATTACAAACATACAGAAAAATACAGAGAACGGTATAGCAAACACCTCTTCACCCCATGCCTAGATCTAAAATTTTTCCAAATCTTACATGTATCTAATTGTAGATATGTAGACATGTAGACATATGTAACCTCATATGGTTGATTGTGTGTCTTTGATTTGAAACAATCTCATTTATTTATATTTTTCTCAAATAGTTGAAGGGACGACCAAAAGAGCTAAGATTGCTTGTAATACTCATGTGGCCCCTAGGATGTACCGCATGGTGGTAATGAGCCAGGTTTACAAGCAGACCTTGGCCAAGAGCTCAGATACTCTGGTGGGGGCACATGTAAAGATTCATCGTTGCAACGAATCTTTTATATATTTGCTGTCTCCTTTACGGTAAGCACAGTCTTTACAGTGTTCTGATATTTTGATATTTTCTTTGGACTAGATTGATCCTTTTTTGCCATCAGAGAATAATTTTGTAGTCAAATATTCTTTTATCTAATTCTCATTCAGCAGAATTTGCCTAATTTTTTTTTTTTCATTTTTCAGATCTGTGACAATTGAGAAATGTAGGAATAGCACCTTTGTCTTGGGCCCTGTACAGACTGCTCTTCACCTCCATAGCTGTGACAACATTAAAGTCATCGCTGTTTGCCATCGTTTGTCCATCTCTTCCACAGCAGGTTGCATCTTTCACATTCTGACGCCTACACGCCCACTTATTCTCTCTGGAAACCAGACAGTAACTTTTGCCCCTTTTCATACCCATTACCCAATGCTAGAGGATCATATGGCCAGGACTGGCCTTGCTACGGTGCCTAACTATTGGGATAATCCGATGATTGTGTGCAGAGAGACTAGCAACACAAGTGTCTTCCGACTCTTACCACCTTGTGAATTCTATGTATTTATTATCCCCTTTGAAATGGAAGGGGACACAACAGAGATACCTGGGGGTCTTCCAGCTGCCTATCAGAAAGCACTGGCTCAAAGAGAACAGAAGATACAAATCTGGCAGAAAACTGTGAAGGAGGCTCGTTTGACAAAGTGAGTGTTTTCTAGAATTGGTCTCACATAAAACTCCGTGGGAAAACAAATTAATCTGTCCATGTTTACAGCTGTACTAAAGTAATAAAAAAGATACAACGTGTCTTTTGTTAAGGTCAGTATTCCAGGCTGTTTGGTTGGGGTTGGGAACAAGTAGATACTCAAGAATTAGACTTCCTTCTTTTCAGAAACTTTAGTTGATAAACAACTTATATTTATGAAAGGTCATATATAGAATATACCACATGATCCAATACTTGATGAATTGGTTTTCATTTTTAATTTATTTCTCTAAACTATATTGGTGGTTCTCAACCTTAGTTTTGCATTAGCGATCCAAGGGGCTTGTTAGAAATACAGATTCCTGGCTCCAACACACCACAGACAGACTCCCAAGAGTGGCTTCCTAATACTACTCCATGGACTAATGCTAGTTTTTGTCAAAGTTTTTCCTAATCCATGGTAAAATGTGAAAAATAAGTGTGGTGTTTTAAAACAAAGCTAAATTTAGTCCACTGAAAATACTGTATTTTATTCTGAAATTATATCCTTCCTAAACTTGGGTGCTAAAATATCTTGTTTTTAAATTCCATGCTTGTGGGATCCCTGGGTGGCGCAGCGGTTTGGCGCCTGCCTTTGGCTCAGGGCGCGATCCTGGAGACTCGGGATCGAATCCCATATCGGGCTCCCGGTGCATGGAGCCTGCTTCTCCCTCTGCCTGTGTCTCTGCCTCTCTCTCTCTCTCTGTGTGACTATCATAAATAAATAAATTTAAAAAAAAAAAAAAAAAAAAAAAAAAAATAAATTCCATGCTTGTGATAGTAGATGGTCATGGTTTATTAAGTTCACTGCAAAATTTTATTTCAAGGGTACTAGTCTGAACTCTAGAAGCCAGGGACATGCTGTATGGTTACTAGAGATTCAGAAAACATCAGTGTGGGTAGGCAGGGAAGGTCTGTGGAGGAAGCAGAATTGGTGTTGGGCCTGGAAGAATTAGCAGCGTTTGGATAGGAGTTGAAGACTGAGCAGAGTACTTCTATTGTATCTGACCAATCGTTCTGTTGTTGCTGTTTTGGTGGCGGTGCTCTGATGTACAGAACTCAACAGAGCAGTTATTTGGAGGGAACAAATGGACAACTAGAAATAATGTCTATCCCATGAAAGTGTTCATGGGATAATCACCTGGAGTAAAATGAACATGAATTAGCGTTCTTACATTTTTTTTATTCTTAATGGCATTTTTAGGGATCAAAGGAAGCAGTTCCAGGTACTTGTGGAGAACAAGTTTTATGAGTGGTTGATTAATACGGGACATCGCCAACAGTTGGACAGTCTTGTGCCCCCTGCAGCAGGCTCCAAACAAGCAGCAGGATAAGACTCCTACGTGGAAACGTTGGTGGGTATTTATAACATATGCCTCTTAGAACATATTTCTTGGGAAAAGCTGACAAGCATACAAACAAGCTGTGCAGGATATTATGTTACTGGCCACTGCCACTTTTTCTCCACCAGACCTACCAGCATGTACAGACTTTACATACCCACTTTTACTGCATTTTATAGTGAGAAGACCAACGGTAGGCTCCACCTATGGAATAATGGGCAAATATAAAAGCCAAGTTTTGCCTTATTTGCTTCTTGCCTAGTACAGGTTGTACTGTCTAAATATACTACTTTCCCCATACATAGCTTTCAGTTTTATTTCCACCTTTCTAACACATCTTTCATCTTTCCCATCACCCACACACAAATCCATTAAGTTAACTGATCTTTGTAAATTGCACATATAAACATTAATAAATTACTAGAATTAATCCAAATGAAGATTTGAATACTAAACTCTGGAAGGTCACAGATCCAATACAAGAGAATCTTGATACAGACAAATTTACTAGAAGTTCTTTAATCCAAATGTAAAATATTCTCTTAAAAAATAGAAATTAGTTTACTTTTCTATTTTGAAGTCTTTTTAAAAGACTAATAGACAATAGCCAATAGAAAAACAAAGGACATCAATAGTTAGCAGAAGATACTTATAACGATACTTTTACTTAAAGAAATGTAAGATACCATTTTTCTTCCATCAGATTGGCAAGACTCAAAAGCTGGTATACAACACTGGTAAGACATATAATTTTCTGCTGGAAGAAGTGTACATTTGTGCAAAATCTTTGGAGGATAGTTTGACAAAACGAAAATTGTAAATGCACATTCTTTGACTTAGCAATTTTACTTCTTGGAATTTATCTTCTAGATACACTCATGTATGTAAAGATCTGTTTAAAAAATGTGTTCATTGCAGCATTGTTTGAAATAGTTGTAGCCCAGAAACAACCCAAGTGCTTCCCAGGAGAGGGCTGGTGCCTAAAGCATTGGTTCATCCAAGGTAAAGGATGCATTTTTAAAAAGAATGAGGTATATCTGTAGGTGTTGATATGAATCATCTTGAAGCTGGGGGTTTGGAGGTGTTAAGGCAGAAGAGGAGGGGTAAATTATTGCCTTGTATGTTTGAAAAAGGAGAGGGATTATTACATATACTTATATGCTAATTATATGCCTTAAAAACTTCTGAAAAGATACAATATGTCTAGGGTTAAAGAAAACTTTTAATTTTTTTTGATACAGAATTCACATAACATGAAATTCATCTTTTTTAAAGTGAAGGATTCAATGACAATAAAAGTGTGTGCAACCTTCACCATTGACAAATCCAGAACATTTTCGTCACCCTAAAAACAAACCCCATACACATAGTCATTCCTCATTCCTCCACTCTCAGTATCTTCTCTTTTCTCCAGTTTTTGACAGCCACCAATCTACTCTTTGTCCCCTGATTTGTCAACTCTGGACATTTCCTATAAATGGAATCCTATAATATGTGGCCTTTGTGCCTGGCTTCCTTCACTTCACATCATGATCTTAGGGTCATGAGTGTAGCGTGTGTCAGTATGTCATTCCTTTTTATGGCTGGTTGATACTCCATTGTATGGATATTCCACAATTTATCTGTTCATCAGTGGATCTGAGATTGGAGTTGTTTCCCTTTTTCAGTTGTTTTCACTTTTATTGTGAATAATGTTGTGTAACTTTAGTGTAAAAGTTTCGGTGTAGACCTACATTTTCAATTCTCTGGGTATATACCTAGGAGTAGAATTGCAAGGTTATAGGTTTAACTTGTTGAGGAAATGTTGAACTGTTTTCCAAAACTGTAAAAAACTATTCTTTATCATTATAGGTTGTTCGCATTTTAAAGTGTATATTACTTCTTACAAAAAAAAGAATTTTATAATATTTAATAAATGCTGAGATTAAGAATCAGAAATCTGATAAAGATTATCCAAAACAAATGGGAACTATAAGAATGTGAAATTTTAGTTGAGACTAATATTGATAGCCTGTCACTTTTTCATGTCTATATATGAATGTCTTTTTTTCTATTTTGAACTGATACGACCCTCAGAAAAAAGGAATACAATTAATCTTAAATGTTATGTATTTTGTCAGTCTAAACTCTCACCTGACCTTGATTTATGTGATTTTATAAATATAAGTTTTCTCCTCATTACTTGCATGAAGACAGTAGAAAATTCAGTTATTAATATTTTTCTTTGGTTATTTTCAGGGCCCTGGTAACAGGAGGATGGATAGAAGATGGTACACATCTTGAAGATACATTGGGAAGATGCTCTTGCTGCTTAAGAGACATTGGTGCTCTTTCCTTCCTGTTTAAGACCGTTCCTTGATTTTCATTCCATGCTGATATATTACTACTTAGGTCGGATTTTAGATGAGCTTCTGACTGTCATATAAACGTATTGTTTATAGCACATCAGAAAACCAAAATGAAGTTGATAAAGGCAGTTTCATTGTATGTTACTATTAAAGTGATTGAGTGTAGATTTGCAAGTAAACTTCACATTTCAATTTGTATGATGAAAGGGTATCATCCTTTCTAGAGTTAAGTAAGAGTTTTCTAGTTCTTTGTAACTATTTAAAAGGAAGTTGCTGTTCCTTTTAAAAAATGATTGGAATGAAAGCATAGTTTGTTGGTGTATAAATATAGCAGAAATAGTTTTATACAAAGATATTTTAGTCCTTAAAAGTATGAAACAATGAAATTGTGTAAAATCTCTATTTTTCATTTTCTGCTCCAATTTTTCAATAAGCAAACTCTGAACAGTAATTTTCTTCTTTTGATAAAAAGATAAAGCTTTACTTTTAATTTTAGAAAAGGTTTTATGAGGGAGGAAAGAATTTTTCCTCTATCCTTCTAGGTTCTTTTGGCTTTGATCTACTAATTAAATGGCCATAAGACAGATTAACAGGAGGAAACAATTTTAATTACATATCTTTGGGTGCCTCATAAGAACATGAGTCCCAGGAACAAGTCAGGCAGTTGGCATATATGCCACCCTGAACTAAGGAATGGAATATCGTCCTAGGGCTTCAAAGAGGAAGAGGGTAATTCACAGGATGTTAAGAAGAACAGATGGGAGGCAGGTAGATGTTTGCCATGTCATACAGTTAGTTGGGTCATTCAGATTAAAAATTCCCTCTGGTAATGGCGCCCCTTCTGAGCCAGGCCCCATATCTGAATTATTTTAGGTGGTTAAGGGAGGGAAAATGTTTTTCTTGAACCTGAGAGGTCTTGATCATTTTCAGCTCAAAATCCCCACATGCTACAGTAGCACATTTTTGGGGTCATGTATTCTGCTCCCTCTTAGTTACCAGTGTCATCCTGTGATGTTATATGAAAATAAAGTTTACATTTGATTGGAAAAGCTGTATTCTTTAAGATAAATGAAAAAGAATTATTAAATTATTAAATAATTATTAAATTATTAAATGAATCTGGTGATGAACATTGTTTCTTATGCTCACTGGTCATTGAATTAGTAATTATTATCAAAAAAGTCTTGATCTTTTATTTCTAAAGTGAAAAATTAACTCTTAGAATGTGTATTCTAATTGAGGTTTTCATCATTTTTATTTTAAGATGAAATTCAAGAGAGAATTCAATAAAGAAACACTGGAGTAACAAGTATTTTGGAAATTGCTATTGGTTACTTGGAAATTAATGATATTACTTAGATATATTCCAGTTTATCAAATTCAAAGCTAAGCATAGCTTAATAATTTCTCAATAATCTTCTTATCAAGGCACGTTTCCCATTTTCTGAATCAACCGTAATATATCTTGGGGCATCCCATTTGTTGCATAGCTTTATTAGTGAACATGAGGAAGATGGACTTTTAAGAATATGTTTGACCAGGAAAATGAAAATTGAGAAGGATTGCTATTTCTTTGGATTTACCTAAAATGGAGCACCTGGGTGGCTCAGTCAGTTAAGCATGTGCTTGGGATGAAGCCCTGCATCAGGCTCCCTGCTGAGCAGAGAGCCTGCTTCTCCCCTAGCCCCTGCTTATGCTCTCTCTCCTCTCTATCTCAAATAAATAAATAAAAATAAAATCTTAAAAAAAAAAAAAAGAATCTACCTAAAATGTAATCTCATCTAAAAGTCAGAGGTGTAGTAGGTACCAAGAAGTGTCCTCTAAACAGGTCATCCTACGATATCATGGCAGAAAAATGCCACCAAGCAGGCAGCAAGTTGGGCTTAGCTCAACCTTTGCAGGATAATTCCCATGGTTGCTTTCTGTCTCTCAGGCTGCATACTGAAGAGCCCTTTCTGTGGATTAGAACTTGCATGTATGTCCTGAAAAAATTTCAAACCTAACAGTTGCAAGAATCTGAATCCCCACACATCCCTTGTCTAGATTTACCACTTGCTAATGTGTTGCCACATTGACCACTCTGGACGGTAGTAGTATTTTTGCTCAGCAATCTCAGAGTATGTTGCTGACATCTTAAACCTTTACTCCTAAAGATGTTAGCATGTATTTCCTAAAAATAAAGACATTCTCCTGTGTAATCATAGTACAAATTATTAAATTGATTAAATTCAGGAAATTACACAATTTCATGATACACAGCCTGTAAACAATTTTTGCTAATCATTCTCAAAAATATCCTTTGTAGTGACATTATCCAAACAAAAGACCACACATTGTGTTTAGTAGTCATTAAGTTTTGTTCCTTTGGAATGTGTCACTTCTATTCAGAATTAGAGGGTAGTCTTTTGACTCTCCTATAAGCTCTTGTTGAAAAAAGAAGACATTGGGGATTTCAAGGTGGCTGCTTGCTAGAAAACCAAATTGCCCAGGTAAGAGGGACGTTTTTGTTTTTAATTTTGAAAACTTTGGCTGGGTTTTGGTGCCTTGACTCAGCAAAGTCTATAATGCAGCAAGGCTTGGTAAGCATTAGAAGGGGTACTGAAGCTTTCCTTTATTTCATAATCCCAATTGTTTTTCTAGAAACCATCAATAGCCTCTAAATGACTGACTCAATTTTTGGATCCTATTCTCATGACTAAGCAAATGTTTGATTTCAAACCAGCCCAGTATAAATGTCTCTGTGCCTCTAACTCTCTGTAGCTATTCTGGATTCCAGCACCGGGGAAACCAATCTATGCACCAAAATGTCTAAATCTGGAACCAAGGTAAGTAAGCGGTCATGCTGATTTTTACCCTACCACTTTCTTTTCCTTTGTGCCTTTCTTTTACAGTATTTTCTTTCGTTTGGAACGTTTCCTCTTTTCCAATGTACCTAAAGATACATTGAAAGAAATGTGGAGAAAAACTTTTGCTTCCTTGCCTGGAGGTAAGTATGAGTGATTTGAAGGCTGGGATTGGGAGAGGAGATTAGGAAATGCTCCTTATGTTTTTTACTGTAACAGAATTACCCAACAGTTGTATTAAGGGTTTATCTTTGTGGGGGGGGGGGAACGTTCAATACTGTATAGGTATATAGCGTGCAAATGTCATCATGATTTCTACCTCCCACCAACCAATACATTATGAATTTCCACAGGAATAGTACATACTGATAAAAGGAGTACATGGAGTAGAAAACATTTAGTATTTGGTTAAAACTCTGTTCTGTGAGGGGCGCCTGGCTTGTTCAGTTGGTAGAACATGTGATTCTTGATCTCGGGGTTTTAAGTTCAAGACCCACATTGGGTGTAGGATATTACTTAAAAATAAAATCTTTTTTAAAAAAAAACTGCTCTGTAAAAGCATCAATCAGTAATGTTCTAGACCAATGAAGTGAATTAAGTCCCACATATCCCCTTCATTCAAGCGGTTACTCTTATCCATTTCCTAAAATAAAGTGCTTACTTACCTTAGGAAAATTGCCTCTAAAATACTTAATTCACAGTTGGTGGACTGGAAATTGATCTCTTAGGCAGGGCTTTAGGAAGGAGGGAATCTATCTTCATTCTTTATTTTAGCTCTTCCATTGACCAGTGAGTGTAAGGCAAAGCCATTGGTGCCTGATTTCCACCCCCCCTAACTTTTTACTTTGAAAAGTTTCAAACCCATTGAATCTTAATAAGAAAGAAATGTTGAACAGATACTTGAATATCCCTTACTTATATTCTCCAGTTGTTAACATTTTGCTATATTAGGTCTGTCTCTCTCCCTTTGTACTAAACCACTTGACAAATAGCAGACTTAATTCTTTTGCCATAAGTATTTAGACATGTATCTCCAAAAATAACCACACTATCATTATCTTGTCCCCTAAATTTCTCATAAATATAATACCAAATATTCAGGCTATATTCAAATTCCTTCCTGTTGCTCCCCCAAATGTGCTTCATGGATGGCTTTTCCCTTGATACAGGGTCCAGTCAAGGATCATGCATTGCATTTGGTTGCCAGGTTTAAGCTTTTCTTCGTTTAGTTTCTTTTATAATGGAAAAATCAGCCCTACCTTTTTGTTGTTGTTGAGACATTGACATTTTTCAAAGTCCAGATCAGATGTCTTGTAGCAAATCCTGAAATCTGCATTTGTCTGATTGTTTCTCTGTGTTTAGATTCAGACGAAACTGTCTTTGGCCAGAAAGTTACATAGGCAATGTCAAGTATTCCCCATCGCATCATGTCAGGAGGCACCTGTTAACTTGCTCCAGAATTAGGTAGTGCCTGATTTTTTTTTTTCACTTGGAAAATAGAACTAATCATCATACTCATTATCTAAAAGATTGTGGGAGAAGAATGAGACAGTGTCTTTAGTGCTCCGAGGTTCTTGAAAGGACGCCATGCAAATCCCGTAGGAAAGAACTGTAAGCCCCTAGAGGAATATCCATGTGCCTTGAAGGAAGACTGTTACAGAACCCTCTTCGGGGCAGCCCGGGTGGCTCAGTGGTTTAGCGCCGCCTTCAGCCCGGGCCTGATCCTAAAGACCCAGGATCGAGTCCCATGTCGGGCTCCCTGCATGGAGCCTGCTTCTCCCTCTGCCTGTGTCTCTGCCTGCCTCTCTCTCTCTCTGTCTCTCATGAATGAATAAATAAAATCTTTTTAAGAAAACAGAACCCTCTTGGATGAAAAAAAATCCCACTTTCAAAGATTTCCAAGGTAGTAAGAGTGTGCCTTCTTATTTCTTGTAGCTGCACTGTTCACGTGGTTAACTCACCTGCTTGCTGAGCCAAGAGATCAAGTTAATCTCTTACTCTTTGTCTATTGCTTCTCCCTTTCCCTCCAGTTTACTAGCAATTTAATCAGAGTTGTGTGGGCTTGGCAGAAACAATGCATTTTACTAAATTTGGTTTTGTTACCTCTGGAATACTCAACATTTTTCTTTCTGCTGTATTGGTTTAGTAGGCTATTTTTCAAAAACCAAATGAGAATGAGAAAAATTTTGTCATAATTTCTAGGGAAATCTCCAGCACTATTTCTTAGCCTACTCTACAAATGTTTTTGCCCAAGAATCTCAGCTGACCATAGAGTAGATTTCATGGTCCTTTTGCAAATGGAAATTGAGTAGAGGTACAACATTCTCTGGGCTCTGAGATTTGGAAGGTCTCCACTGACAGGAGAGTTTGGTTCAGTAATGGCTCCATGGCAACATTGTACTTTGTTTCAGCCCTGGGATGGTTGGCTAGTCTGCTGGAAGGGTAGACTTTATAAACATCGTGTATATTTCTACTTCTCAAATACAGATTTTAGCCAGGCAAATGTGCAGAGGGCACTAAGTGTGAGAAACATTGAAGTAAAAAAGATAATAACGTTATTTCCTATAGCATATCTCTTGCAAAGCCTCTTTTTTGGTGAATAGTTAACCAAAAACCAAAGCTAAATTAAATTAAAGTTGAATTAAGGAGTTTAGAATCAATTAATTCTTAGTGAAGTTACCTTGGTTTTCCTAAAGATCTTTCCACAGGCTTTGGGAAAAGCGTCTAAGACTTAGTCGTGTTCCATTACTAAGAGAGTGAATGGGGTGTGTAGGCAGGAAAACAGCAAAAGGGAGATAAGACTCACTTGCCTGCAACTAACTCATAACTAGCTATTTAAGGAAGTCATTTAATTTCTTTATCTGTAATAATAGTAACAAAAGTTTATTGGCAATTATGAACCAGAATAAGTGTTTAATTGGCATTATCCCTCCTCAGAACAACCCTCTGCAGTGGATATTGTTACCCAGTTTTACAAATGTAGAGCCTGAGCTCTAGAGAGAGGTCCGGTGGCCTCTCCATGGTCACAGAGCTGGTAACTAGCAGTGCTGCAATTTTGTTTTCATCTGTAAACTGGGACACCATATATCTCTAAATCTGTGCTATGCTAAAATGGGAAATGGAGCTGGAAGAGAGATTTGGGAGGGGAAGGAAGGAAATGAAGTAGATGATTTAGGGGTAGCAGTTAGGGGTAAGGGAGCTCGTAGGAGAACAGGAAACAGAAGAGTGGAGAGAGAAACAGGAAGGGTAGATTAAGGTGGAAGGAAATAACCATGAGTCAGTACGCTATGATCTAGAAGGGCTCCCCTGCGGTAGAAAACATTGAGGTTTTTATGCCCTTTTACAAGTCATTTTTGGTTTCTGCCTGTCCATCAACCCTTATATCCAATCAGTCACCAAATCCTCCATTCCTTTGACTGTTTCCTCAGTGTCATTCATCTAGTAGTTGCCATTTGGCTGGCCGGCATCATCTCTCACCACATCCATAGCAACCACCTGCTTCTACGCACAGGCCACTCCATTGCATCTCGCAAATCATCACCAACGGATTCTAGCAGGGCATCTGTGACTTTATTTCCGAATACTTCACCACATACTCTATGTGCACCAAACTTGGTGAACTACTTGTCCCTATAGTGGGTCATGTTTTTTTTTTTTAATTCCTTTGAACAGGCAATCCATTTTCCTTTGCTTCTGAAAACCCCCTCCTTATCCTTCAATTTTCACCTCAAAGATCCTTTCTAGACTACCTCCCTTCGCATGAAAACACCTGACATGATTTTCTTCTTTTAAACCGATAAAGCAAATTGGCCACAAGGTGGCGGCATAACGCTAGGAGATCAACTGCTTGAATCCATTACCCCTGGTGATTTCAGTTTAAATTATAAACCAACATTGACCTTGGGTTGTGGAATTGCAGAACAAGAAGGGGCAACCTCTGCAGTCCATTTGGTCTAGTGGTTTTCAGAAACTGCGCTATGAAGCCCCAGGAGTGCCTAGGAACTCTTATCTCCTGTTGCAAACCAAAAAATTTTATTTTATAGCTAGCTGGGGCTTCCAATCCAGTCTAGTCCTTTGATTTGAAATATGAGAAGCTGGAGCCCAGAAAGGTAGCTTGCCTAAAGTAGTAAGGCTGAGTGTAGAGATGCAGCTTGAGAGCCCAGGTTTATTATTTCCTGTTTCTCCGGGCTGCATGCTACAGTGCCATCATAGGCCTCAGGTTTACCCCAAAGGTTGTGGTAGAAACTTGGTAAGAGTTTGAGGCAAAGAACATTCTTGACTTGTCATCTTGTTACTTTGTAACTACTCTGTTGGCAATAAAATAATACAGAACTTAAAATATTGTCAGGTGTATGCTCTATATATCCATCTAAAATAAGCTCTTTACAGCAAAGGTCTACATTTTATTTTTCTCTATGTATCTTCCATATCACCTAGAATGAATTTATGCATTTAGAACTTACTCATCTTCATCTCACAGTTATTGAAGGTTTGTCCATAGCTTAAATAAGGCTGGGCCTTTGCCCATGGAAGAAATCTAATAGGAGTCTGATGGGAAAGAGATATGTAAGCAGGTAATTTACTTTCTAATGCGATAAGTACAGTGAGTTATGGGAACAAAAAGGAAGAAGCAATGAACTTGGATCTGGCTTATCTTTTGTTTTGCTTCATTTTAAGCCTTCAGGAAGTTCTCATTCCTGTTGCTGACAACCAACGTTGTCTGCCAGAGGATAGGTGTTGTGAGGTGAAGTAGAACTCTCTTATTTCCTCCTCAAAACTGAAGAGAAAGGAATGTCCAAAGTGAGGAATGTGTTCTTGGTTTTAATTTTGTTTATGAAGAAAGCCACCCAATTCCCCAGTTCCTCTCTTTGTCGGCCTTGCACCTCAGATCACTTTCTATGAAGACAAGCATTTCCAAGGCCGCCACTATGACTGCGACTGCGACTGTGCGGATTTCCACATGTACCTGAGTCGCTGTAACTCCATTCGAGTGGAAGGAGGTACCTGGGCGGTGTACGAAAGGCCCAACTTCGCTGGCTACATGTACATCCTACCTCGGGGCGAGTACCCTGAGTACCAGCACTGGATGGGCCTCAACGACCGCCTCAGCTCCTGCCGAGCTGTTCACCTGGTGAGTCTGGAGCCCGACCCTCCTAGCTCGTTTGCTTGCCTACCAAGCTATGGTTCTCTCTGTCTCTCTTTTCCCTACTCCCTGCCCCATTTTTTTTTTTTTTTACTTTTATGTGAAAGCCTTTTCTTAACATTTCTCTACTCTTAATGGGGTGTTTTCTTTTGTTGGCTGCTGAGGCTTACATAAAACTTTATGTCAGTTCATCCCAAGACTGAATGACAAATTATATCCAGAGCACTCTCTCTACCTCCTGAGGACTTTAAGGCACCAAGTTTCTCTTACTGAAAATCACCTGTTTCAGTCAGTACACCGTAGGGGATGGGAGATCAGATCATCTAGCTTTCAAGATGGTGGGTTCTGAACCATGCTGTTCTCTGAGTTGTTGAACTGTTGGTGATTTTCATGATGGTCGCTGTTTATTTCCTCCTGTGTTTTTCCAGTCTAGTGGAGGCCAATATAAGATTCAGATCTTTGAGAAGGGAGATTTTAATGGTCAAATGTACGAAACCACCGAAGATTGCCCTTCCATCATGGAGCAGTTTCACATGCGAGAGGTCCACTCCAGTAAGGTGCTGGATGGTGTCTGGATTTTCTACGAGCTACCCAACTACCGTGGCAGGCAGTACCTCCTGGACAAGAAGGAGTACCGGAAGCCCATTGATTGGGGTGCAGCTTCCCCAGCTGTGCAGTCTTTCCGCCGCATTGTGGAGTAATGATTTGGATGGGGCCATGGGCTTCTCCCTGGGGGCCACATGCTGGCTGGCCTTGTCATACAAATAGGCATCATAAATAAAACAATTGGCATACATTCCAGTGTTGACTGTAATGCCTCTCCTTAAACACTCTTAGGGACCAGTAAAATCATGCCCACCCGTGGTGGGGCAGTTACACAAAGCAACTCGTCCTTCAGATTACCAATCTATAACTTTGTGCCAAACTGAATGGGACTGCATTAGAAAGCTAGAAAATCATACTGCCATGTGGTGGTTCTCATTGCTTGAGTTTGGTATTGATTCAACAGGTACGATAATAACAACAGCTACTGCCTGTTGAGAGCCTTCATTAATCCATTTTCTCTCTACAACAACCCTGTAAGAGAGGTGGTTTATTTGCATTTTACAAATAAGAAAACAGAGGCTTAGAGAAACTAAAAACTTCCCCAAATTCACCAGCTGGTGATTGGAGGAACCAGGGTTTGACCCAGGATATTTACATTTCCACAGCCCCTGTTCTTTTCCTTCATTTCCAACTTGTTCATGCAACACCTGCCAGGTGGGGGTCCATGTGCATAATGACAGTACAAGACCCTGAGGAATTTAAGAGGAGAAAAGGGTCAGGGTCCCCTGAAGGTCTCATGGAAGAGACAGACTAGCTATCAAGAATGGACAGTGAAAACAGAGCCATTGCTTGAAAATGGTGGAGCCATGAGGACTTCAGGCCAAACCTGAAGGCTTTTAAGATTTCAGAGGTTCCTGGGTCAGTTACTTCTCAACCTTAAGTTCAGTTAAAAAAAAAAATTTAATTAGTCCTGACTATACAATAGTTGAAATGGAGTTTATTTTTACTTTGAGTAACTCCTGAGATTTTCTTTGTTTAATTTTGATGAAGAGGAGAATGGTGAAGGAAACCCAGTGTCTTTAGGGATACTTGGTGAGCACCTGAGTGAACCTGGGGATGTTCTGGAGGCACTTGTCTTTAAAAGAGAGGGTAGAGTCAAGGTCTCGTAGGAGCTTTTCCAGAAAAGGACAAATTAGAACTGCTAAGGATATTCCCTCCATGTGCACTTCCATCTATACACTAGTAAATGTAAAATGTACATAGCAAAATGTATTCTCTCCCCTAAATATTTTTTATTTGACTTGTTACCATCCCCTGCCTTTTGTCATTTCTACGTTTTGAGTGAGGGACTTTGAGAAATTTGAGTAAAAGTAAGGGAGGGAGACAAGATGAACCATAGACAAAGAATGGGAGGCCACCCACTGAGCCACAATGAGCTCTGGACCTCATCTCTCTACCATGAGGCGAACTTGCATTATCTCTAAAATGAGGGAGTTGAACCAAATGCTCACTTAAGTCCCACTGAATATAAACATCTTAATTCCTTGGAGGTCAGGAGGAGGATGCAGAAAGGCCAGCTGATGACCAAAGACTGATACTTTCAGCAGCACAGTTTCTGGAAATGACCTCAGATCTAGCCCCTCCTTTTCTGCAGAAGAAACTGAGGCTGGGGTAGCAGTGCATTAGGGCCAGCCTCTGCTCTCCTATCAACTGCCGCCATGTTCCAGTCCCTGGTGAGTCGGACATGGTCTGTTCAAAACAACCAGAAACACAGTCCTGGCCTCAGGATAGGAAATTAAGCGTCAGGATGACTTACCCCAGTCTCAGAGAAGTAGAAGATGGCTTTTGACAGATAAGACAGAATCATCGTTTGGGGATGTTATAGGCCTCTTGGTTCATGCCCTGATCTAGAAAGGGATTGCCCACCATTTTCCCCAGCTGTAGACACATCAGTCAACTTGCACTTAACAAGAGTTTTCCTAGCAATTGATATTAGAGGTCAAAAACACTTTGTGTCCTTATCTGTCCATCAATCCCCGTTTTGGTAGAACATTCTGCTGTTCCAGCACAAGCCAGCATCCCACCTGTCAAGCACACCAGAGTAGCACCTGGGCTGTTATTTAGAATTATCTCCCTCTAGCTTTTATTGTTTTGTCTCTCTGAAATGGAGGATCTCTAGAAGATAAGACAAGGGCATATTTAGACATTTGAGCCCTGTTTTCATCTCTAGCATTCCTCTGAGAAAACTCTTAGAATATTTCCCAAATATAGAACCCACTTCCTCAAAATGCAGCATCAGGGCTCCTATTTCAGGCCTCTGGGGTAGGGCTGCCAGATTGAATATGGGACAGTGTTAGTAAATCACAAGAACTGGCATATAACTAACTATAGACACAGTATAAGTACATCCCAGGTATTGCATCGGAGAGAGTTACACTAAATAAGCATTTGTCGTTTGTCTGAAATTCAAAATTTAACTGTGCATCCTGTATTTTATTTGCTAACCCAGTCCATCCTATACCTGAAGGGCAAGTCAAATTACACATGAATGACGTGGGACTAAAACACAGGGACTGGCATAGGCTCTGGAAACAAGACACATGTCCCACAGCAGAGCATTTAAATACAATTTTTCAGAAAGCACTGTGAACCAACAAAATGTGTCTGCAGCCAGATTTAGCCTATGGACCACCAGTCCCTGTTCTGGGCCTGTTGGAGAGCTCTGAGTATCAGAAAATACTGCTTACATTGAGTCAACAGTAATTCTGAACCTGAAAGCCTAGTTCTGTTTTCCTTCTAGTTCTCGTTCCCAAGATAGCCCATTAGGTATTTGAAGATTCCCTCCTGTTGGTCTCCACACCCTCATCTCTAGGCTGAACAATTCCTGTTCCTTTCATCGCTTCTTTCTTGGTGTCGTTGGCACCCAAACTCCTCTGTGCTGGTTGTAGATGGTCTTTTCCCCTGTGCTCAGCCATAGCCTGACCAGACTACATCTGGAGGATCGTGTCCAGTTCTTTCACCTTCCTTTCTCAGATATGCCCTGTTCTTGACTATGCTCAGCTTTCCTGGTGCCCTCCCACCAGCCCCGATGTGGGCCTGGGCACCCTTTTCTAAGAACTCACATTTCGGCTCCAGGGCTTCCTCTTTGGAGAGTGAGAGAGAAATGGAATCCTACCACTTCCATACGTGCACTCTAAGTCACGTTAGTATACACAACCTCAACTTCCTTATCTGTAGCACAAAGATGACATCTACTTTGTGGGTGTTAAAATGATGTCATGCATTAAAAACACATAGCATGTATGGCCAATGCTCATGTATGCCACAGTTGTGGTCTATAAAGACTTGACCACTAGGGGTACCTGGGTGGCTTAGTGGTTGAGCGTCTGTCTGCCTTTGGCTCAGGTTGTGATCGCAGGGTCCTGGGATTGAGTCCCGCATGGGCTCCCCGCAGGGAGCCTGCTTCCCCCTCTGCCTATTTCTCTGTGTCTCTCATGAATAAATAAAGAAAATCTTAAAAAAAAAAAAAAAGACTTGACCACTAGATAGCAGCCAACAGTTCCTGAAGGAAATACAGAGTTAGGTGCCTGTGAATTTCTGGTCACAGAGATTTTGTCAACTGATCAATACTTAACTATTTTTTTATGTGTGTTTCAGTTTCACACCTTATTTAATGTATATTGTTGATTTGTTAACATTGAGTTCACTGACAGCCCATGCCTGAATGAGATGAACAGGTTCTCTCTGCAGGGCACATCGCAGCTTTCTTAGGAAACTTGCTTAGGAACACCAGACAGCACTCCAGCACTACATCTGGGGGTTGTTTTCTCTAGCAAAATCACCAACCAAAAGGGAAACAAGGCATAAAACACAGCACTAAATAGCAACAAAACAAAACAAAATACTTGTTTACAGTACGAGAGCTGCAACCAGAAGGCAAAGCCTTCATTTGACCTCAGCTGGGAACACAAGCACTGGGGGACTCAAATTTTTTTGCTGCTCCACTCATGCCCTTGAATGCCCTCAAAAGCACCAGAAGGAGAGATTGTGGAATTACCAGTAAATTTTAGCCAGTGGGCAAATTCACAAATACAGAACGTGTACTTTACCACTATGGCTGGTGCGTTAGCACCATTTTCCTGGTTATTTAAGTACCTCTGTTACCAAACTGTTGGTTTTTTGCTTTATTTTTTCCTTGCTTAGCTTTTTTTATATCTCTTTCTATCCTCCAGTTGTTTTCAGAAAAGCATCTCTGCATTTTTGGCAGATGCTTCACTGCGGGGAAGGCATACATCAGAGTCATCCAGCCCATCCCATTGCCTTGAAGAAAGAGCTACATTCCTATAGGGGCCGGCCTCCCCTTCGCTCTCTCATTTGCCTCATTCCTGGTTCTACTTCCCACCAGTTTCCAAGGGCAGCAGGGCTCTCCTTAGGGTTCACACAAATCCCCCTGTTTTCTTAACTTTGACCTCATCTCTCTTATTTGGGGGCTCTCATCTGCCCAGGAGCTGTGAGTCCCCAAACTTCCCTAACCCCCTGGCTGACCAGCCTGTGGTCCCCACAGGAGAGAAGGCCCCATGGCAGCAAGGTGAACCTCTCTGTTCGCAGACAGACACCACCCACCTCTCCCACTTCCCTCAAGCCTCACACTTCAAAATTGGGAAACTTTAGAATTGGAAGGGCTGGGGGCTTTCGTATATACTGCAGTAGCTTGATAAGGTGGGAACCAGGGCCCAGACAGCCTAGAGGAGTTGTCCGAGGTCACTGGTTCCAAAGCTCTTGCTCCTTCCATAGCCCCACACAGCTTTTGCTTCTCAGTCTTCATGAGACAGAACCACCATATGACATTGACATATGAGAAGGCTCAGCCTAGGGGCACCTGGGTGCCTCAGTGGTTGAGTGTCTGTGTTTGAGGCACCTGGGTGCCTCAGTGGTTGAGTGTCTGCTTTTGGCTCAGGTTGTGATCCCAGGGTCCTGGGATCAAGTCTTGAATCAGGGTCCCTGCAGGGAGCCTGCTTCTCCCTCTGCCTGTGTCTCTGCCTCTCTCTGTGTGTCTCTCATGAATAAATAAATAAAATCTTAAAAAAAAAGAGAGAGAAGGCCCAGCTAAAGAGAGTCATGCTATGCCCCTCAAAGATTTTCTCTTGAATAGCTCTACTCTGAGATATAATCCACATGCTGCACCTGTTCAAAGTGTAGGACTCACCAGACTTTAGTATATTCACAGATCTGTGCCAGCATCACCACTGT